CCTTGACATAACCGTTACGGCAGGCTCTGTGCAGTGGTGTCCAGCCACCCTGTGGGAGGATGCAAACATGCAGTATATGTCCCATGTTATACCATAACGTCACCCCATCCAGTGACATATTCAAAGTGTAACCAATATCACACAACATCATACCAAACAGCATACGTACCCGACCACCTTTGTATTGGGCAGCATCTCGTATACGTTGTTGGTCCCAACTGGTCACCAGCTGCAGCGCCTTTTGTGGATCTGATGAATCACACGCCCTGTACAGCTGCTCTCCATCTTCACTCATGGTAACGGTATCTCTCTCTCTATTCACCATCCGCTTCAAACCGCTTTGCTTGCTTCTCTATCCACCACCAATCTCATGAGCCCCCTCCAAGTACAACTCGTCTGACAACCCAGAATTCGGACTGGGATCCGACAGGCGCGCGCCGTTTCCAAAACGGCAGCCGGTCAGCGGGCTCCTTGCTCTTCTCTGTCTGGTGCAACAAACGACTCACCTCGAGACAAATAACTTGGTTGCGAGGACCGGTGGACTTGGTTGCCCAACCGCACGTGAGGCGAGATCAGTGAGGCCAACTTCAGTTGAAAGCAAAAAAATGGCAGCAGTGCTTTCAATCAAAACGTTCTGGCGTCGCCCCAAGGCCCCAACCAGGAAAGCGTACCAAGCACAAGCGATCAGTCGTCACACACACACAAAGCAAGACACGTCAAGTCAGCTGATATCGAGATCGAGACCGATGCCAAAGAGGGGAAGAAGAAGAAGTCAAAGGCAAATGGCAAAAGCCAAAGAACGAGAAAAATGCGAAGAACACACACACACACACACACGTTTACACCTTTTTTCTTCTTTTTTAATTTTTTATTTTCGGAGAAAAAGTCAAAACAACAACAGTCTTACAAGCAAATGTTCCAAAGCGCCGTCAAGCTTGTGTCCGTACCAACGTGGACTGCCCCTTTGCCTGGCATGACAGCTCGCCTGTTACGAGCAGCTTCCAAGGCGCTGTAAAACTGGGACTTGAACGTACAACGTGTACTGCCTCGATGCTTGCCATGACGTTACAAGCCCGTTTGGCTAACTGCCTCTCCAGTCATATCAATCTTATCCCCCGCCCGGATGCGAGCGACCATTCCTGACGGCGAGCGAGCCGGATTTAAGCTCATGGCAACGCGTCAACGAAAAGTTGGTCAGACGAGTGCGAGGCGCGCGCCCAATGACTGTGCTTCATGTCCTTCTTCTTGCTTTTTTTATTTTTATTTATTTATTTTTTTTTTTTTTCACTTGCGCCTGGTTTCTGCTCCTCGGGCGAGGTGGAGTATCGTGGCACCATCATCATCATCATCATCAGCATGAGCCGTTCAGGCAATCATTGGAGCACTCTGTCGACGCCCGTTGGTCTCGAAGAATTTTTTGGCAATCCTGAGTTTCATCACTGCTTCCAACACACGGTTGAGGTACGCCGTGATACCTCAACGACTCGAGACGCAGTCGAGACGAAACCTTTTTCCAGGGGTTTCGGGGGCGTTTGTCGGGAAGGAGCAAGACATTTTTTGCTGTCTGCAGGTCAATTCTACCAGCTGCGGTTGGAACGTATTCACAGTGACCAGACCAGGTGCACCGTTGAAATAGCTGCGGAATCGCTCTCGGTTCCAAGGACAGGGAAAGTGCAACGCGTGTCCAAGCACAGGTATCACAGCTAGAAGAGACGACGGTAGTCAAAGACGGAGTGGGCATGGCAAAGTACTTGAAACACGCGCGAGGTTGACTTGTGCGCCTTCCCACATTCAAAGGGTGTGCGTGGATGTGCAAGTAAAACCGAACCACCTTTGGGTATTCCCAACGAGGAGGCCTTGTGGTGAACGACGCTGGATGTGTGCAAAAGCAGGACAAGTGCCTGGGAGAGCAGGTTTGACTGCACGACAAAGGATCTCAACGAAAACATCTAGGCAGTGTAGTAGACGACTAGTTCGGGGTAAATCTGGGCGTTGTCGAACATTATCACCTCGCGAAACGTTACTTGCGGTGTAGCAATGACAGAATCAAATCTGCAAGACAACCAAACATGAGTCCCATCAAACTGTGAGACAGGACTCGAATCTTGATTGACATACCGCTCGTTGTTGGGTGCATCGGGCAGCAGCGGGGGAGCCAGCGCCCCGAACGGAGGCGAAGGATGGACATAGGCACGGCCCAACAGAGCTCGCGTAATAATGAGCAAGCGCTCGCCGTTTGCTCCGGACCTCGCATATTGGTGACTCTACACCCACGTTCAAGTCGACACACAGCGCCAATAAAGCAATGTGAGAACACGCACGTAGAACCCTGCAGCCCAACTACCACCACACCTTGCCGGGATGATTGGCCAAGTAAACACCAAGTCCATAATTGTGGCCTGAGCTGCGACCAGCGAAACGATAGTCAAAGCCCAGGCGCACAATCTTGTCGCGCAACATTGTGTCAGGGGCGATGCCGTGAAGCAACAAGCGCTCTTGACAGGGTGTATCTCGAAGCAAAGCTGGACAGCCCGAGAGCGCATCTACTGTGGCCGTATGAAGTTGATCATAGTGCTCCTGACTTGTAATGCGGTGCAGCATCTCCCATCGCTTGGCGCTGTACCGTTCCCACAGCACGGGGTTCTGCACACGCTCCACCCGCCGCACTGCAATGTTGCTTGGCCCTCGCCCGTCAGCACTCAGCTGCTGTAGCAGCTCAACCACCTTGGTACACAATGGGGTCAAATCAGTCGGCTTGTCAAGATAAAAATAAATGAAAATATGACTATGTCGGCAAGCAACGCACCTCTGGGATGAGCTCGGGTGCGTCGCGCAAAACGTCGATAGCTGGCCCAACAACTTGAGTCGTGACAGGTCGCTGCACTCTTTGCCCGGCGCTGAAGAGATTTGGCCGCTGCTTTGGATCTGTTGCAAGCAAGGCCCGTGTTTCCTTGTACAACTCGCTCGTCGAATTGCACATCTGCAGCAAAGGTCAGCAAAGCAAATCACAATCAAAGCGGTGCTCAGTTGTCGCTCAAGGGATATTGCGATATTACTCACCTCAGCCGCCAAGTGCGGAAAACTGCATTCTGCACCTCCTGCCCCTGCATCCCATGTGCATTGGTCGGCAAGCTGGTCCGTGGGTAAACGAGCAGGTGGCACCGTCTGTGGAAACATGTAGGTGTTGTATAGCACACAGCCAAAGGAAAAGACATCCTGTGCCGGTCGTGCACCTACACGACCCTGGCCGAAAAGCACCTCCGGTGCTACATAGCCAGTCGTGCCCAACGACGCAGTGGCTGTGCATGGTAGCATAGTGGCTTCGGCAGCCGCCTTGGTAATGTCGAAATCGCCGAGCCGCACAACAGGTTGGTCCTCGTCACCGTCCAGCATCACATTGCTCAGCTTGACATCCCGATGCACCAGGCCCTTGCTATGCATAAACGCCAGGGCCATGCGCAGCTGCGTCATCAAACTCGCAACGACGGTCGAGGTGGCCAGATGCCGCGCCTTGCCGAGCCACTGCTGCAGATCCCCCTGTGTAAACCACGGCAGCACCAGATAGGCGCTTGGGTGGCCATCATGCACGCCCACAAGCGCACCGAGGACTGGAACGATGTTTGGATGCTCAAGCTGGCGCATGGCGCGAAGCTCGCGCAGAAACGTACGACACTGATTTTGCTTGTGTTGCTGGGCAAATGCATACTCCTTGACAGCCAAATCCTGTTCTTGCTCAGGCCGATTTGGCAGCGCTGCACGAGCTTTGTACACCTTGTGGTTTTGGTTGTAATGGAGCTCAAGCTGACCCAGGCAGGAGAGCGTCAACACTTGGTCCAC